TGCTGCCGCCCGGCCCCGGCACAGACCCGCTCCGCCTTCCCGCACCCCGACCCGCCGCCGCGCAGCCCCGGGATGCGTCGTTCCCCTCCCCGCGGAAAAACAGTCACCGGCGGAAAAGGGGGGAAAAGGAGGGAAAAGGCGCGAAGAAGGGGAGAAAAATAACTCCAGAGGTGGGAAATGTAGTCAAAGTGGCAACAGTTTATTTATTAGCCAAAAATATATACTTTCTTGTACAATTTGGTTCACACATATGTACATTTTTACTGTATGTACAAAAACAACAACAACAAAAAAAAAAAATCGAAACACCTAATTCTCACTGGACTTCCAAAAACCCTCACAAACTCAGCTAATGCAGATGATACAGAAGCGGGTATTTTTTTTTTTTTTTCTCCTTTTTAGTTTTAATATACGGACATGCTTACAAGTCGTAACTATACAGAGATTTATTTAATTTTTTTACAATCATTACAACAACAAGAAAAAATCAACTATGATGATGACAGCGCCGATAGAACCATAGCGGCATCGAGTTGGTTCTGAGGCCTGGAAAAAATGACACAGAAAAAAAAATAAAATAAATATATTTAATAGGTTTGCTAGTCGGATCGGGCCGGCGCTGTATTGTAAGTGTTGGTAGCGCTGGTTTTGTTGTTGTTATTGTTTTAAAAAAATACTTTCTAAATATAAAAAGTATCAGGACTAACTTAACAGAAAATGTGTTTAGCGACGAAAATACCACGGGCCCGATCCCCGTGGTTTCAGTCAATCAACAGAGCGATTGATTTCAGTGACTGCCACGCCGAACTCAGGACAGCGAGGTTCAGCCGCCTAAGATTTCGTGCCAGCTGGGGGGGGGGTGTTTATTTTTATTTATGATTTTTCTACTGCCGTGGTATTTCTCCCTGAAACTAAGCGACCCCGCCGGGGTTTTCTCGGCGTTCTGGGCAGCCCGGCGGCGCTCGGGGGGAGCCCGGCGCTGGCTGTGCTCGCTGCGCTCCCGCCCGCCCTGCTCGACCCCAGCACCGCGACCGCGCGGCCCCGTTGCTACCGAACGCAGCTCGGCCTGCCCGCGGGAATCGCTGGTAAAGTTCAGAAGAAAGAACAGGCGGGGGGGAAATCGGAATAACCCACCACGCACTCGAGAGGAAGAACAAGAAACCGCCCTGGAAAGGGAACTAAAGAAGCGGAGAAAATAAGCTAACCATTTACAACTCCCTCTATATATCCCTAGGAGACAGAGGAAGCAATCTCTTACCGCCTCTGCACTGGCTGGAAAGCTGTCTTTAGTAACTTTTTCTCTACTTCCAAGGCACTAGATCGATCTAAAAAGAGAGGGGAAAAAAAAAAAAAAAAAAGCGTTCCTTTATAGCCCCCATTTTATTCCCCTCCCATCCCTGAATTAAGCCTCTAGACTTAAGATCTCTTCTTAGCAAGTTGCAAATACGACAGAACGACCACTTTGCTGCCGGAGTGACCGTCAGAAGGCAAATAACGCCAAGCCCGGAGCGTGTCTCACGGCTGGGCCCTTCCCACAAAGACCATTTGAGCAGCAACAACCACAACAACAAAAATCATCTCCGTCGGAGGAAGGTAATTTTCGGGCTTTGAGACTAACCTGGCGAGGAGGTCCCCCCCGCCGCCGCCTCCCCCGG